TTTTGAGAAAACACTGAAATATGGTGAGAGATTTTATTCTAAACTTAAATATGAAGCAAGAAGTTAGGATGACTGTGGCTATTAACACTTCGCTGTGCATTAACCTCCTCACTGACTGTGACCTGTCCATTTTAGAACACTAAAGAATTGTGTAGAAATAATTACCTATTTAAGGGCATGGGATGGACATAAAAAACTTATTTTAAATATGGACTAGGGTCAGTCTGATTTTTTTAATATGTATAATACACCTGAGTGCGAGGGTTAATTTCCAGCTCCGCGGTTGCTTTGTTTGGACTCTGTCTAAGCTGTTGAGCATTAGAATGGCTCAGCAAGGCCCTGGCTCCATCCCAGGACAATGACCAGTCCCGTGTCTGGGTTTGCTTGAAAAAGAAGCATATATTTGTGGGTCAGATGTGAGCCACAGCATCCTCTGACCTTGTGCCTTTTCCTGCTGGGAAATCCAGACATGGCCCATGAGCTAAGACTGTTGTCAGGTCGTTTACAGCCACAATTTTTAGTGACCTTAATTTTTCTAGGCACTTAAGGAGCCATGTGCAAAGTAAAACATGACTTTGGACTCATAAAAGTTCTGCTAATCCACAGACTGCTCAATTTGGTGTTCTAGAATTGGTTGTCAATTTTGAAATTGCTTTAAACTCTGAGCTACTCAGTCCCCCATGAAACACTGATTTCAAAGTAAGAATCATAAAGTTTTCTTTATGACTTCTAACAAGTTATCTGCAGGCACCTCACACTCTAGATTTATGTGCTTCATTGAAAATTGAGGAATATATGATTAATCCACTTACTGTGAATGTTAGTAGAACTTAGCAACAGAGCTTGGCTGGTGATCATGTCAACTAGACAAGCTGGGAGGTGGAATCTCTACTGTCTGAACGTGTGATGCTGACACACAAGAACAAAATTGGGTGCACACTGCCTTCAAACTGTGAGCAGAGGGAATCAGCAGCCTCCTGAGAGCTTTAACTGCTTAATGAGGAATGCTCTACATGCTGTGTATTACATACTGAACATTTTTGTAACTTTTAACAGCTCTCTTCTGGCAGAAATGGACTGAACTTTTTATTAATTCAATTTGTGTCAATTTGAATTTCAAATGGTGGCCGCAGAGTGTGCCTACAACCATTCTGTCACTTAGAAAGATGGTTCCTTCAGGAGGAAAAAAGAAAACCTAAATGAAGAAAGTTAATTTTATCACATCCATTGAAGCAAACGAGAAGCAATTACTTAAAAAAGAGACAACCCCTTTTTAAGAAACGAGGAAAAGATCATGATTACATGGATATTATTTGAAATTTTTTCTTCAGCTTTTTTTTGAAGACTCTCAAAAAATGTGTTAGGGCTGCAATCTTTGGTTTAAAAAAGGAGGTGAATAAGATGTTTTGCTCTATACCAAGGCTGAACTTGTCTTGCAACTAGTCAAAACCAAAGTTTTCAGAACTTCTCACAGTGAAAGGCTGCTAATGAGTCAAACAGAAAATTGTCTCTTGCTATAACCTTTCTGAAATAATGATCAGGCTAACTCCTTTTAGATTTTTGTGCTTCATTAGAGTAAAAAGGAAAAAAAGCAGAAAGTTGTGTGTGCTACCCTGGCTATTGTGACTGAGGAACTATTGCAGGACTGAGGAATAGAACTTGGTTGGGCACATCCACCAGAGAATCTGTGAGTTCAAATCTGTACTGGCTTTTTCTGAAATGTGGTGCTTGCCCACATGACAAAAATGGATGTATTTTTAGGGGCTAATTACTTTAGAGAAGCTGGATTTAGGATGAAGGAGAAGGAAAGCGTAAAATGGGGATAGTACATGACTTCATTTAGTTTCTATCATTGCAGCTGTGTATGAAAAGCTTTTCAACACATTGCCTGATAGGTAACATAATACTAACAAAGCATCTTTGTTAATATAAGATTAATCCCTAAGCATTTTTTGCTTGACTGATAAAATGTTCCAGCTTGCATTGGTCCTTGCATTTGCTTCTTGCATGTTCTCTGAATCCTCTAATTATTGCAATAACAGTGTAGGTCTCTTGTGTATGAGGCTTCATCTTACTAGGTGCTATGCAAGCTCTGTCCTCATCCAAGGAGCAGGCAGTTTAAAACCAAATGCAAGGAGAGATAAAAGGAATGTGTGTCTTTGCTCAAAATCAGTGATGGTATGCATATGCACGGAAAAATGTGTACAGCTTATTGTTTTACATTTCTTATCAATGCTTATTGCAGGCTTACCAAGAAATCTGTCACCAGATTGATAGTGTTTTCTTGTCTTTGTTCTAACCTCTGGAACATGACTGTCTTTAGGATAGATTTTGGGCATTACTGAATGTCTTTTTCCTGCAGGGCTAATAAAACACTGAGTGTAGGTCCACAGCTAAAAATTCCAATCTGCCTTGCCAAGTGCAATGTCAATGCAGTGTCAATGTTAAGCAAAACAGTAATAAATAGCTTGTCAGGCAATTCTACCTGTAGTTACTCTCGTGGTATTTGGCATTTTTTTGAAGGTTTCTGAACCTGAATGGACTCTGAAATATAGTCCAGAAAACAGTGGTAATTATTTATGTACTGTTGGGTTCACTGTGCTGTTGAATGCACAGTTAATCCTTGTCATATCTCAGTTGTTGGTAGATTATTTAGTTGGTAAATTTTACTTTGGTTAGGCTGAATGTAGTTTTCCTTTATTTTCAGACAAAAAAAATTTCACAGTTGTCTGAAATCACCAGTGTTGCTGTTGAAGAGGTTGCCCAGTATTTTATCTGTCAAAAGTTCCCTCCCAAATTACAACTAGAGTGCTGACTTAGCTTCAGTGACTCAGCCTCCAAAGATTTGCTTTTTCCATGCTTGACTGTGTAGAAGGATCCTGGAGGATGCTCTAGGACACACCCAAGGGTCATTCTTAGCCCACCAGTGGCTTAGAGTCTGATACATTCTCTGTCTCTCTTGTAGAGAAGTTTTGCAAAGATCTGCTGAGATTAATTCACTTAGGTTTTATAAATCTGGTTGTATTTGCTGACTCTCACAAATTGTCTCACACAAGACTGAGGCTTTTTTGTGTATGTTGGTGTCAGGTGCTGTGAGCTATGAGCATGCAGCAAATTTGTAGTTAAGGTAAAGGCAGAAAAGCCTGTTCAGTAAAAATCAGACAGTGTAAGATTGTTTGCTTAGCTTGTGGCTAGAAGTCCAGGCTGGATGATAAGTGTTCAGTTCAGTCTCTGACTCAGTACTTTTTGAAAGGTAACAGATTTAGAGTGTTTGCAATTGTAGGGCATGGTGTAATAACTTTTGTTTCCTTGACTGGGGAAAGGAAGCCATAAATAAACTGCAAATATCTGATATAGGTAGTTATATGGGATTTTTCATAGATCCATCTCATGAATCTGAATGTAATAAATTTGCCAGACCTGCACTGCAAATTTAAGCTTGTTTCCAGAATAAAAGGAATTCTCTTTACAGGTTGTGGAGACAATATTTTATTGTCTAACAAGTGTTCTGTGTTAGAAAAATACCAGCATTCAGTATTGTGCAAGCCTAAATGAGTTCCTGTGGCACATAGCACTAAATATGAATGCTAATACTAAATTCAGTCATTGATATCCGAAGTACACAAAATCAGTTTTGCCACAATGCTGTATCTTGGATTAAAGTGGCAGAACAGAGGCATTCCTGCTTATGGCTGTTATTTTGTCTGCCTTGCAACTAGATTTTTCCAATGACATTCAAGATTTCAGTGTGGTAACTAGGTACTAGATATTTTTAACCTGTTTTGGCATCTTTTTGCCTGCTTGGGCCCCTAACACTTTCAAAAATCTTTATGTCTCTAGAAGGCTTTTTTCCCCAGAATAATATTGGCTATAAAATGTTTATTAAGATGCAAATTCAAAATAAAAACTGTTGTTATTTATATACCACACCACTGCTGCTGAATGCTAGCTAAACTGGTTGTAATGTCATTGAAAAGAAGTTGGCTATTGTAGCAAAGGAGCAGCTGACTTCAAAACACCTTTTCATTTGGTTTATATTCCTCAGTGTAAGAAAATCTATCTCCTGCTCTAGCTGTTTGGCTCAGTGTTAATTTTTGAGATCCTATATTGAACGTTCTCTGTTATTCAATGCTTGGCTGTGATGGCTGAGTTGAAGATCAGGCAGTCTGTGCTTTTTAAGTCCTAAATAATCTTTTGTGATGGCTGTTTCCAGGTTATTTACCTGCATTTTATCAATTCACATGCCTCTACTAGAAATGAATTTGTATTTTTCTTTTTGTTTGGATTGCCCTGAATTTGTAACCTGATTAGCAGGATTGTGGATCCTAAGAATGGGACAAAGCTCAGCCACCACAGTGTATGAGGTTCTGCAAGGGTTACTTTTAGGGCTGCCTAAGAGAGTCAGTGATGGATGACTACAAACATAATAGGCTATGCAACCAACTCTACCTGTTACACAGAAGGCATTTTCCATCAGTAAATATCCTGCATTTTTAAATAAATGAAAATATAAAGGAAACTCAGAATTTGGATCTGCTCCTAGATCCCTGTGAGGTGCTCTTCAAGATGTGTGAGTTCTGAACCATAATCTCAAGACTGTTAGGGTCAGCCCACATGTTCCACTGTATGAGAGCAGGACATGTGTAAATACTGCTGTGGTTGGTGTGTATGGGGACTGCTTGAAAGGAATCGTGACAACTGAATCAAATTCAGACAATTTAGTACAGATTAAAGAAATTGTTGCCACTTTCCTAATGAGTTGCATTTTGTCACGATTGACAAAATCCATTGCCAAGGCTTTTCCTGCTTCTGGACTCCTGACCTGCATGTGAGAGCTGTCTGCTGCTCTCCTCTGGCCTAGATGGAAATTTTTATGTGTATGAATTTGTCAGCCATTTGGGGAAGAATGAGTAAAAGTTTTACTATAAACACAGACATCATTTGTATTAATGTGAAGACCTGTGTGGTTCTGATGTCTCTTTTATCTCTTTGTGTTTCAGTTCATCGCTTTTGCCTCTTTATTCTTCATCTTAGTTTCAATCACAACCTTCTGCCTGGAAACACATGAGGCTTTCAACACTATTATAAACAAAACTGAGCAGGTCATCAACGGGACAGAAGCTGTGTTACAGTATGAGATTGAGACAGATCCTGCACTGACATACGTGGAAGGAGTCTGCGTGGTATGGTTTACATTTGAATTTTTAGTACGTGTTATTTTTTCTCCCAACAAACTTGAATTCATCAAAAACCTCTTGAATATCATTGACTTTGTGGCCATCCTGCCCTTTTACCTAGAAGTGGGCCTGAGTGGGCTCTCCTCCAAAGCTGCTAAGGACGTGCTTGGTTTCCTCAGGGTGGTAAGGTTTGTCAGGATCCTCCGGATTTTCAAGCTCACCCGGCACTTTGTGGGCCTCAGGGTGCTGGGCCACACTCTGCGAGCCAGCACCAATGAATTTCTGCTGCTGATAATATTCCTGGCACTTGGTGTTTTGATATTTGCCACTATGATCTACTACGCAGAGCGGGTGGGAGCCCAGCCTAATGACCCGTCAGCAAGTGAACACACACAGTTCAAAAACATCCCCATCGGCTTCTGGTGGGCTGTAGTCACCATGACCACCTTGGGATATGGTGACATGTATCCACGGACTTGGTCAGGCATGCTGGTGGGAGCCCTGTGTGCCCTGGCGGGAGTGCTCACCATAGCCATGCCCGTGCCTGTGATAGTTAACAATTTTGGGATGTACTACTCCCTGGCCATGGCAAAGCAGAAATTGCCAAGGAAGCGAAAGAAGCACATCCCTCCTGCTCCTCAAGCCAGCTCACCCACCTTCTGCAAGACTGACTTGAACATGGCCTGCAATAGCACGCAGGGTGACATCTGCCTGGGCAAGGACAACCAGCTGATGGAACACAACAGATCATCAGGTAGGACCCCACTGGAAATGCATGTCCTCTGAAAACACTTTATAGACCAGTATGTTTGGTAGGGGTCAGAAAGCAGCCAGTCTTTCTGCCAGGAGAAGATGTAGCTCCCACCCTTCTCCCCTCCAACATTTGCGTGTGTCAGTCTCATAGAGGACAAAAATAGGTATAGTGATGTTCCCAAACCTCTATGTAGCTGGTCTATACAGTTTTGCTTGCTCTGTTGAGAATGCTTTCCTGCTGATGATATCAACCTTTTCTTTTGCCTGTTGTTTGTTGCGTTGTATGGATGTTTCTTGTTTTTCTGCATGACTGTGACTATTTGAGCAGCCACCGTGTCCCACCCTGTTGGACTCCATGGTGTTTTGCCTCAGTGTCTGTCTCTTGTGTCAGCTTTGCCTGTGCCACATCGTGGCCTGTTAAGCAAGATCCTACAAAGAAGCAGTCATTTAAAAGGAGCAGGTGCTTTACATCCAAAGCCCAGCACTCAAAGGAAATAGGAAGAAATTTTCTTTCTAGTTTTCTTTCCATTTGGCATTCTGCTTCCCTGGCTAAAAGAATCTCCTTCATCTGTGTTAGATGAAACATTGCATGATATTTACTATTCATTAAATTATACTAGCATAGCTGATGTAAATCTTGTCAAGAAAAAGAAAATGACAGCCCTTAGCACCATCATCGCTATTACAGTTGATTTTTGTGATTTCTATTACCTCATTTGTTAGAGTTCCAAATGATGAATAAGGAGTATTTTTTGCTTTACTCAGTGAAATTGCCTATCAAATGACAGCCTCAGTCCCTCCAAGCCACTGCTCCATGTTCCAAATCTGTTGCAATTAAAAACTAAATTTTACCTCTCAGTATAATTAAATAGTTTAGCAGCAAGAATATTTTTTTTGTTTCTTAAGTGTATTTATTCTTAAGCCATATAGAATCTGTTTAAAAGCTCACATACCAGTCATGAGATTCCAGCTGTAAAGCTGCTAAAGCATAATAAGAGCAAAACCGCTCATGACTGGTGTAATTCAGTAATTGAAATATAGATTTTAAAAAGAAGAGTCTGGAAAATCCATCTCTGAACAATATCCTTCTTCTGTCTGTTGCTCTGTTACTGAAGAGCATTTCTGTTCAAAGAAGCTCGGTTTCACTCTCCGAGTTACTGTTCACCAATTAACACAGTTTTTTGAACACCCTAAATGTATTTAAAAAGATGGAAACGCTTGAAAATACTCAGACTGACAGTAAAATATGGTTAGTTTTTCAGTGCTTTGACTGATAACCTTTGAGGTAGCATCTTTAAATTGTGAATGATAACAGCTTTTTCATGCCATCAGGTCCTACTGAAGGTATTCTAATGGAGACAGCTCAGTGTGATCACTGTGTCTCTCATTAAGAGACACTTTTTTTTGTGTCTACAGCTTTGTTTACAAGGGGTTATAATCCTTGAAGTTAGAGAGAAAGCAGACATGCAAGAAGGAGCCATTTTAAAGTGTTATCTTCCTTTTCAGTAGTGCCACCACTCACATCATGCACTGTAGTTTTATTTCTGGTAGAGAATGTTATTAGAGTCACTATGAATTATGTGCAAAACTTCAAGGCTGAATTCTGCCCTTTGCATTCCCAGTTCAGAAAAAAAACCATGTGCAGGTTTACATGCAAAGGTAAAGCTGAAGTTATGTGCTGTACTGAGAAGAGATTTTTTTTCCTGAAGTGTGGCCTGAATTTGAAATGGTAGATAATTTTAAAAGAGAGTCCTTTGGGAGTGACAAATCAGGAGAGGTACAGGTTTTGCCATTTGACAAAATAAAGTACAGAGACCAAGACAGCATTTAATGTTGGGTACTTATGATGACAAGCAGTGCAAGTGTAATAAATATGGAAATGAAAGCTAAGTGTGTTAATAAACAGTGTATAGTGCCAAATATTGAAAATATAGTCCTTCTGGGTGAGGGCTTGTCTTTAAAACATTAAACTATATATTCTAAACAAAAATGCCTAACATGACCTCTTGTTTAGCAAAAATGATAGCCAAAATAGTAAATAAGTATTTGAAATATCCAAGGCTGACTGTATTCTGACAAATTACAGTCCAGATTAGGTGAATAACTGAGCCTTGGTTTGATTATTTCTTAGTTCATGTTAGTTTAATCTAATTTTATTCAAATTTTAGAAGAAGAACAGGAAAGTCAAAAGATCATTTATTATTTATTCTTGAACAAAACGTATATCTTTTGCCATTTTGTACTGATTAATGATGAATTGCAATCTTGTTTTCTTCTAATGATTTACTTTATATCTACTTTTTGAGTGATGGGAATATCTGGCATTCAGCGTAAGCTCTTTGTGATGTCTCATTTCCTCATTCATTATTGTCTGTAAATGGGCATGGTGCTTTAACCAGTGTTATCAGGTGAAGACAGTGCAGGAAGTGAGCAGCCACTCTCACCTGGTGAAAGGCTCCCTCCCATCAGACGTTCTAGTACAAGAGACAAAAACAGAAGAGGGGGAACATGTTTCCTACTGACAACAGGTGATTACACGTGTGCTACTGATGGAGGGATCAGGAAAGGTATGGACTTCTTTCATTAGATCATAAAAGGTTACTCAGCAATGTGCTTGTGGAAAACAATCTTAGAGTAAATGATGTGCACAATGCTCTAAGAGGAAAGACTGTACTCACAATGTACCTTTTTTTCTTTACTCCTAGTCATTCTTTTCCTTTTAGAAACACTCATCCCCTTTAGTCTTCAAAAAATGTGCTTGATGTTGGACACTCATTTCACTTGTGTCTTCATTTGCCTGTAATCTCTAGTGGAAAAGCCTGCAATTCAGACCTTGCTCATTCAACCACTCATCACTCAATATAACTTGTCATTCTAAAAGACAAATTAATCATATTATAACTGTAGTCTGCTCTTTATAAAATTTACAGCTGAATACACTTTAAAGGTTGACATGTCAGAAGTAAGCAACATTTCTGAACACAAAAATCATATCCTGAGATGCTAGTTAGATTTCTTTCAAACAAAATTTTGAGCTGATAATGCCAAAAACTATTTTTTCCCTTGGCAATACCAACCACTGATACTAAAATATTACTGTCTACCCCATCCATAATTCAGCTATGTAGTAAAACAATGCTTAACCTTTCAAGGTGTTAAAAATGCCTTTCTAGTTATTTAGCCTCTTCAAATCTGATTACCTTCTGCTTAGTAGGATGGGAGTGCCCAGGTGGAGTTTGCAAAACTGTTTTGTGCTTGTGTCTCCCACGTGACTGATTGTTTCTACCCCAGCAGGCCACATCTGGCTGTGGCTGCAAACCCAACATCAGGACAGAGCCCTAAGATCAGCATGCCAGTGGTAATCTTCCCATTTCCTAAGATAGGAACTGCTTTTGTTTCTTGGCAAATTATATTCCTCTGATCTTGGATCGTTCAGACAGATTTTGCATTCCTGAGTGCTGAAGTGTAGCTGTTCACCTCAGAGTTCTTCTGAAGTAGCCCTGTGGCACTGGACAAACATTTTTGCCCGAGATTTTTCTGGCTTTTTTTTTTATTTTTCCCAAACTTGCTTGGTACATAGCAAACATAGCCAGCCATATATCTAAAGGAATTCTCTTTGGTTGTTCTGCCAATGCTCTTTTTGCACTTCAAAGCATAAGCTCAGTCGGTTAAACCTGTGAAGGCAGATATGCAACCAGTTCCACGTGTATGGCATTTGCAGAGTGTGACTCAATGCTCGGGCATTTTATGTACTCCTGTATATAATGTTGAGCTTAAATGAAAAATCATTGCAAGCATGTTTTTGCACGAATTTACTACATTTTTCACTGAGCGTATATTTCACTGTCTTCTCAACAACTAGGGTTATTTAAAATATCTCTAATGCTAAGAGTCTTTGAGGAGGTCAAGAACACCTGGATAAGGTAGAGTACCATAGCATCTTGCATGATCAGCTTTTTGACTCCACTCAGCAAGTTATGGTGGTAACCATGACTAGAGCAGATCAGAAATAATAAAAGAAGTTACCCATCAGCTACTAAAGATGTATTTATATAACAGTAAAACCTATTTTATCCTGGAACATTTTGATTTGTAAATCTAGATTTAAAATAAATTTTTTGGTTATTTTTTTAGGTTTTGTAGCTTTTACTAGAAAACTGGGGCTTGAGTTCAGAATGGGTAGTTTTTTGATGAGAAATATGCTCTTTGCCTGGCTCTGATGATAATCTTAGTTGAGGCTGAAATGTTTTAGTCACTGGCTTTGGAGTGTATTTTATACAAAGTGGGGAAGCTAGCCCATAAGCAGAAAATATCTTCAAATAATATACAAATAGGTTTGAATGCTTGAATGTCATTCACACATCAAGTCTAGTACTTTCACATTTTATTTCCTTTCCTTCTTTCCTTCTTTTGGTACATTCTTCTCGTTTGGTTTGTTCCTTGGTTGATTCTTGTTGTTCAGTTATAATTTATTCTGAGCTTTTTGCATCTCCATCTCCAAGATGATACTGATTCAGACCTGATCCATTAAAATACCTGAAAAGTACTGATTTTGGATCAAGCATCTCTCACTATTCATCTTGTGTATCTGGTTTTCATTTTTTAGGAGTTTCTACTTTCTTTATAATCATTACCATCTTCCTCTCTCAGTTCTTTCCTTTTATCATTGGAAGAGTAGCAAGAGAATAATCTTAAAAACCACTTTCCTAGTTTTTATGTGAAAAAGCTACCTGATTCTTTTGATTTTTTTAATAAGCTTTATGTTTACAGGGAGTTTAAATATATACACTAGCATTGTGCTTCTCTTTAATTCCCTTTCCAAACATAATTCTTTCTAGTCTGTGTAAATACTGATAGAAACTCAGAAACTGGAGGCTGTTTCAGAAATGTATCAGAATTCTGTGTAGTATCACAGTCTAGCCTGCCCTTGCCATCTGGAGGGAACATTGCACAATGTTTTAACAGACATGAGGTTATACATTTGCTTTAAGTATAGTTTTACAGTATGCAGATTTCAGGGTAAGAAATATATTAATTGTTGTCAGGGGAGAGCCTAAGATAGATTTTTCCTAAAGATGCCATTAACTGTCTGTTACCTAGAGACCTGGAATTTGAGCTAGTAACTGTTTCAATGAGAAAGAAAAAAAAAAGTTTGCTGTCATTCCATGTGGTGTTAACTTTACTGTCATTGGTATTTTAAGGTTTCTGGGAAAAAAGTCTCATTATTTCCCTATAAGCAATTTAAACCTGAATATTTTAACCTGACAAATGCTTAAATGCATACTTGTCTTCAAAGAAATAAGTAATACCACTGAAATCAGTGAGACTTCTCATGCTTGCACTGAAGCATGTATCCATGTACTTCAGGAGCAATGTCCTGGCTGGCTCAACCTTTGTTGTATTTCCTTGCTGATATCTTCAGGCTGACAAGCAGATCTGTTTCCTAACAAATGGGGTTATTCAGCAGCTGCTGAAAATACTTGAATATGAAGATAGTGATGCAGTGAAAGCAATGCTTTTTCGTTGGTTTACAGCATAGCCTCTACGAAGTGAAAACAATCCACAGTAGCAAAAAGTAGGTAGCTAGAGCTCACAGTGTATGTGAACAGCAATATCTGCAAGTGCAATGTTCCCTTCAAATTGTGAAGCATTATGTGGTTGCCTCATTTAATGATTAATAATTTACTACTTGCTTATATGAATTAATACCGTTGATTTTGTTCAAATCATCTGGAAAAGAAGCACAAATTCAATGTTTTAAGTTTGCCATTACAAATACGTCAAGCTCTGCTGTCTTATTAGACTTCAAAATTAGAAGCAAAGCCTAAGGGTTAATATTTTTGAAGATAAAGCTTCTTATATTATCATTCGGTCCTCTGCAAAACTGATTTACACATACTGTATAAAATTTATCTGGCTTCTGGTTTATTTATTTTAAAGAAAAAATTGTACTATATTAGGAATTGAATGTAGCAGAGATTATGTAATTCTGACAGTTTCTGTAGTCTGTCTTAATGGGTTTTTGATTATGCTTAGCCAGATAGCTCAGTCACCCTGGTGGGATCCCTTATCTTTCTCTGTGTGCAACCCTGCTGAAGCCTGTGATACTAAGTGCAAGATGGGATGTGGAAGAGCAGGTCAGACCTCTTGTGTGGTGGTCTGTTTAATTTTTTGGGGAAAAAGTGGATGCATTAATTTGTAAATAATTTTATTTATTAGTATCTTTTGGTAGTAATGTGTCTCAGCACTGAGTTCTTTTGCAGGCAGATTCCCTCTGAGTCCCTGATAGCTCCTTGGATTACATTACATTGTACTGTTTGTCTTTGTCTCTTTTTTTGGCTGAATTCAACTGATGTCTGTGCATTTTCTCATACAAGGCTATGAAAAATCCCGAAGCCTAAACAACATAGCTGGCTTGACAGGCAATGCTCTGCGACTGTCTCCAGTAACATCACCCTACAGCTCACCTTGTCCTCTAAGGCGCTCTCGGTCTCCCATCCCTTCCATCTTGTAAACGCAGATGGCGTCAATCGGCTACATAGCATTAAATCAAATACTGTTTACCACATATTGGAAATAAATGTAGCATTAAGCATAGGCTCCACAAATATGGTCTAACTCCTGCATGATACAACTGTCGGTAGTAAGAAAAGCCACTTGGGTACCTGGAGATTTTTGTCTTGGCTTTTAAAGATTACTTCAGGTAGCATTTCTCCTTTTATCTACTATATTGTCCTACTTTCCTGTGGCAATAAAAGGACAGTTAGTAGATGCTGTTGTCCATATATTCAATAAATAAGTATATTTTCAGGGAGATTTACTTAAAATAATGTGCTTCCAAGTAATTATCAGTCACTCCATTGAACCTCCATTTCTTGTGACTCTAATCCATTCTGAAGATGTCTGCTCTGAAGGGTCTGCTCATTTGCATGGACCATCCTGTCTCCATCACCTGACAAGCAGTGTTGCGGATCGTGGAGACCACAGAGGGCTCTGGATGTGTGTTCTCACATTGTTACCATCCTGCTGAAATGAAAGCACTGATAAACTGGTCTGCATGTGGGATTGTTTTTCTGTGTTTAACCTTTTCCTTTATTTTTTAACTATCTACTTGTTTATAAACGACTTTATTTTGTGATTAACTTATTTCGGTACTGGATTGCTGTATCAGAGTTCTGAATGTCTCCGGTTGTTTGCACACAGATAACTGCAAAGAGGTTGTCATTACTGGTTACACGCAAGCAGAAGCCAGATCTCTTTCTTAATGGCTTGGGGAAGGCACAAAACATGCAAGAAAGGTAAACGCCATCCAGACTTGCAATTTTAAGCTAGCAAGTGCTGCTTGGTACTGTAGTATTTTCTCTACTCCAGGGTTCTTCAACATTTTCAGAAGCTGAGTACCAAGTAAAATTGAAACAATTATTGGGGGCTTTTTTTACCGTTGTAAGAGGGTAGTAGTTCTCAAGTCGGGTTTTTGACCAGCCTCATACCTCTGGCTAGTGGGCTTCAAAAATTTCTTCAGTCACTGTTTTTTGAGGTGCTTTGTCCTATGTGTTGTTTGTCTGTCTGTTTTGCAACCTGTCTCCTTGTATTCTCCATCTGTCTCCATAAAGCACAGAGATTCTGTTAAAATGCCCCCCTCTTTTAAGTTGAACTGAGAACACTTTTTTCTCCTTTTCTCTTTTTTTCATATGGACTATACATCCATGTATAGATAGAAATATACATATTTTTCAAGTGCAGTTAGTATCATCTAGACTAACTCGTGTGCACTCCTAAGGTTTTTTGAGCGACTTTTCAGCACTGATCGGTTGCCTATTGCATCAATCTTCCTCCCAGCAACCAGCATTCATTACAGTTTTGAAACTGTATCTCCTCTAGTGGCTTTTTCATTCAATACTAACCTCTGTTTATGCAACAGGACAAATGCAATGGCAAATTTGAGGTTCTGGGCTGGTGAGGAAAAATTACCCTTAAACTGTAGAGTTTTAGAAGACCATAATGACTGAAATCTTAAGTGATCCTTGAAATTGTTGAATAATACCTGACTGTCATGTTTTACTTTTTTGTTAGGAAAAGAAATTAAATTTATTGTTGACCATGTAACATGTTCTTCTGTATATAGCCAAGCCCAATAGCATGACCTGCATGTCAGAATTCTTGTACAATAATGTAGTTATCAAAGTATACATTTCTGATATTTAGAGATGTACATTGATTTACTTTTGGTAAAATATTGTCAATAGAGAGATAATTGCAAACAGCTTTTAGCAAATGAATTAATATAATATCTGGTGCTGCTGTTATATTAACTACAGTGTTGTACAGAATTTATCATGGATTTTTGACTGCTGAAAAAGGGACAATGGAATTTAGCCATACCAAGGACTGTACTGGAAAGAGACTGCTGCTGCTGAATGGGCCCTGATAAACGACTCACACCTTGAGGAGGTCACTGAGACTTTGCGTGCGAAGCAGAGCTTGTTAAAGAAGATGAAAGACCGCTCGTAATTACTGCTGCCAGAGGAAGGGGTGACTAGTCACTGTTGATGAGCCAGTGTAAATAAAACGTGTGTGCATGGAAAATCAGTTTTTATCTATATCAAGGAAAGCTGAATTCATGTCATCATTGCTAAGGTTCCATGCAAAGACCCCCACCCCTGTGTTTATTATTCCTGGTTCCTGCAGTAAGCTGTGCTGTGGATCATACAAAGACACACGCTTAATAATGATAGTGATGTAAACTACATCTGTCTTGACTTCTGTCATACTAATGGCATATATTGCAAAAGTCACAAATTTGAACAGAATAGGTTTGCATAAGTCCTTGCTTTCTCAGTTTGCCATGACCTAAATTGTTATGAATTGTAGTGTACATGCCAAGTCCTAAGTTTACTTTTCACTTTGATAACAAAATTGTGACTGCAGACAAACATCACTGACTTTGTTCACAGCACACAGTCTTCTTTCATTGTTACCTCAAACTATAAGTATTATCAGAAATAAAATTCTGGCAGCAAGAATATTTTGTGGTTATTTTTTTTTTTAATTCAAAGTGTTGCAAACCCAACATCAATAAGTATAAAATTGTATTAAAATTATATTCTACAAATGTATATTTTACATAAAATATATATATTCTTTGATAAGTTATTTTCTGTGATTTTTGTGGTAAATGGATCTAGTCTATTCTATGTTTATGAGACATTGTAGTGCTACGATGTGATAATTATGTTCTCTCCATCCTATTCAGTGGGAAATTCTCCAGAATCTGTTTTGTCACCCTGGTGTCCCAATTGTAGGGACCTGTCCCAGTTGTGAAACTCTGTATTGTGGAACTTCTGTGAACATGTCAAGGTGCATGCACAATCCTGGTGGAAACCAGTGGAAATGTAATACCTGAATTGGAGAATAAAAGGCAAAAGACCTGGGGAGGAACTTGGAACATATCTTCTGAACTGGCTCATGAGCTTTCTTTAGCTGTATCGGTCCCTTGCCTGCTAGTGGCCATCCCAGTTCTCCAACCAGCCTCCTGGAATGCCTGAGGAGCTGATTCAAAAGCTAACATAAGCTGGCTTCTGCAACAATTGAAAATTTATCAGCTTGTTAATGACCCTGTGCCTCATGTGGAAGTTTCTGTCAGGCTGGGTATTTTAAGTCTGATGGGAGTTTTGTTGCATCCTGGTGTGAAGTCAAACCTAAAAAAAGGAGGTGATAAATAGTTGCTTAAAGTTTCTAATATACTGTATTTGTGGGAACCAGAAATCCCCAAATACACAAGCAGATTGTCTGAGAGCAGTGAGGTAGCTAGTACAGTTTTACAAATGATCTGAGAGGTTGTAACACAGTGTTTTGGCATATGCGCTGTAATGTAAGAAAAGTTCCAGAAAACAGGATCAGAAAACAGGTGTTCAATTTTAGAAAATGTGTTATAATATGTCAAGAAAGCTCACTGTGCTGTTTGCCCAAGGGTTAAGAGTTGCCTGTGCTGTGATTGTGAGCAGTACCCAAGGGAAGAAGGGGTGTAGTGGTCAGGCAGCACAAGGCTCACAGCCAGCCCCAGTCACCCAGGGCAATGTCTGCCCCAAGACCTAGAGAGAGGAGCCTGGCTTTCCTCAGTGCTACACAGGGACAGTGATCATCCCCAGATGGGATGCAGACAAGGGAGTGCATTTTGTTGGTCAAGACTGTAGAAAACACTGATGGCCAGATGGTGTCTGACATCTTCTACTGTCTGGATGGTAAGGAGCCTGGATGGATCTCCACCAACGCTGGACTTTGAGTCCGGAATATCCTGGACTCGGTATTATTTTTCTGCTAGAGAACCAAGCCCATGTTTAAATGCTTTCTTTTAAAACACACCTGGAGGACAAGCTTATGGTGAGTCTGGTAACTGTTGATGTGTTTTGAAACTACAGCCCAACTCTGACTATTCTAAGAGGAAAAAGGTGGCTTCACCACCAGCCCCCTCCCGCTCCTCACCTGTTTCTGGAACCAGAAAGGGTGAAAGGGTATTTTTACAAGAGGTGGGACACCGAGGTTTAATATTCGCACGCTGAGGGTGGCTTTGAACCTAAACCTCACTTTTCAGGGTACTGCAGTGTCTCAGATACAATGTTAAGATTGGGCTGCACATTCTCATTCACTTCTGGTTTTGGCCATCTTTTAAAGGAAAGTAGACGAATGATGAGAAGCAAAATTGCACCAGGAGAGAGGAGTTTTGGTGCAAGCAGGAAGATTCTGTGTGGGTATTCTGGGGATCAAATACCCACCAAAGGGTGCTTGTGGCCATCTCTAGGCTTGACTTAGGAGTCTAAAAACTTATTCAATCCTTGTTTAAGTATTACTTAAGAGTTAGACGTCAAAACCAGAAAACAGCTGTGAATTTACAAGCAATGCATCTGCTAAAACAATTTAGGAGAAGCTGTTATTCATTTGCCTTTTAAAACTGTGAAGTCAAGATATCAAAAATGAGCATCCTTTTGAAAGATGAGCTAATACAACAGCAGGGTTTCTGCAGAGATCAAAAGCTGTGATATATTTTGGAGATGAGCAGATTATGGGTTGTTTGGACTTTGAAGGCAGTTATCGTTCAGCACTCAAAAAATGTTGTTCCAGCAAATTTTGAGACATTGCATTATGAGTTTTTATGGGTGTGTACTGCAAACTGGTGCCAGAATTGCTAAGAAGCATGCAGCTAATAATAATTAATATAATCCTGTATAATAAGGGGGCTTTCTCATGTGTGAAAAAATTGATATTCATAAAAGTTCTCTTACAAAAAGTCTGGATTGAATTAAAACTTCTAAAAGAGAGGGAGATTTTAAGGAATCTCTTCAGATGGGTAACTGAAAACGACAGGAGAGAGGGATCAATGTAATGTGAGCAAACTTGCCAGCATAGTTATATGAAATATGAATTTTAAAAGTCATGAATGAATTAACTGTATGAAAGAGAGAATTTTATAATCTAAAAAAAATTGCAGAAGTCAGATAAAGGAAATTGGAATGGAAAACTGCTATTAGAAAAAGAAAATTAATTTATTAATATGCTGTATTACAAGCAATGACTTGAACAATTCCATAATAGAGCCTTAGAATACTGAGTCAGAAGAAATTACAGAAAAGCAGAAAGGTTTCTACCAGGTCAAATTTATCAGAATTATTAATATTTTTATAATACATTATCTTCCTCTTGGAAATAAACTTTATTTATTTAATTTCCCAAGAGAAGACAGTGGTGGGGTTTAAAAGCCAAGAGTTGACTTGAGGGCAAATACTGAGCTGTTAGTGCTGGGTGTTGGGTACCTAGCTGGTGTGCCATTACGAGCATTTCTCTCCTACTTCCGTGAATATCCCTGGGACATGTTGGAATTGCAGGGGTGCCTGATTTCTAGCCCCAGAGACAGGGATCTTTTACATGCTGTCTCCATGGGAAGGCTGGGATGCTCTCCAGCCAGGCTCCTGGCTCTGCAGCACAGCCTGCAGAAGCATCCCGAGTTTGGTCTAGGTGCAGCATCTCATTGCCTTCTGGCAAAATAGGCACCATTCCCTCACCCTCTGCAACCTCCTCCCCAAAACCCAACCTTCTGTCACTTGCATTTTTTTATTACCAGCATGTTGATGAACAGCTGACAGATTTCAGATTCATGCTTTCACAGCTTCACATTCGCAGATGGCAATATTCTAGCATATTTTAAAAAAATGAAGTTGGAGGTGGACACTTTTTGAAAATTTGGCACAAAAATGTTATGCATTTCATTTAACATCTCCTGTATTATTTGCAGGTGGAAGACTGGAGATCAGTTTAAACCCAGGGCACAACTAGGCTATTCTGAAACTTTTAGGATGTGTTCCTTTTATGTTCTGCATCTGGTTAGAGCATTGCTACATTTTCCTATCACATGAAGCTCTCAGTTTTCTCCTCAAATGGGATTTTGAGATAAGATACTAGAGCAAGTCAGAGAGTACAATTTTAAATAGGAATTAGAACTGACTTCCCAGGGAAGGGGTGGGATCACCATCCCTGGAGATATTTAAAAGATGTAAATGTAGATGTGGCACTGGTGGATATGGTGAACAAGGCAGTGCTGGGTTAGTGGTTGGACTCGATGATCTTAGAGGTCTTTTTCAAATGTAGTAATTTGGATTCTTATAGGATTGTAAACATGAATTGTACTATGCAGAAGGAGATAGTCCCTGGGAAATACTGAAGCTGTAAGAGATGACTGTAGCTTAACAACTCTTTGTTTTAGAGAATGGTATGGGCACCTTTTTAAAACACGAAAAGCAGAAAATTCTGTGTTGGCCTCCTCAGAGCAGTATTAGACTTGCATAAGACAATGAACTACTAAAGAGGAAAGTGGAAGTTGTTCTCCTTGACCTTAAGACAGCTTATTTGCAAAAGTAGCAAGATCAGACTTCTTGAAGAAGCCTGGCCTTTTTAGTGAAACAATGCAAAACTCCATCAATCTGAAGAATACTAAACTGTAGCCACATTATCCTATTAAGCTGATGCTAAATATAGAAAGGATTTTCAGTTTCTTACAGGGATTTCCTTGCTTGTGACTAAATGCAGCACCATGGTTTTATGAAAATCTTATTTTCTCCATGCTTTTGAATATTTTTGGTGCGATGAAGTTTGGCAGTCTGATTGTCTTCAGATCATGCCATTCTGTAGATGCAATTTTTGCATTTTTCTAGTATAAAAAATAAGTTTTTTTCCATTTTTTTCTGAACTGGAACACTGGAAAGGGGCATAGAGGGAGCACTGAACAACATGGTTTTCTTAATTTCTTATGAAATCTGCCACGTGAAGCTGTGACCACATAGAAATAAAAATACACAGCTTTCCCTGTTATGTCAGTGTCATAACATTGACTGTAACTCTTACATTCTGAAACTCCTCTTAGTTTTGTTTGGAAATCACAGTAACAAAATTTATTTAGTTACTGCTGTTTATAACCTCTACTTAAACTTAGAGAACTATGCTTTGTATCTCTGAATAATGGAGCAATTAGAGACCTTAAGAGCATGAGGACTGTGCTCAGAGAAGAACACATGCACAAATTTAATAGCTCCATCTGTAATTACTGAAGTGTTTCCTCAATACAGGACATTATCTGCACAAGGTCCTAGTGTCAAATAACCTCTCTAACATGAATTGCAAAACTGTCCTTGGCTTACTTTAGCAAGACTAGGTCTTGGGAAGCAACTGGCTTATGTCATGGGCATTTCCAGGACATTTACCACCAATATCATAGAATCATAGAATAGATTGGAAAAGACCTTAAGATCATCAAATCCAACTGATTACACAGCAAGTCCAAGTCCAGCACTAGACCAGCTTTAAGTGCCGCATCTACACATCTGAAGCTGCAGAGCCTTTGGCAGCACCTCTGCTTGGTGCACACCCTGGTGCAAACTCTAAGCAAGCTGCTTGGGTTTTTTTCTCCAGAGATAAAGAAGATGGATGGTTCATGTCTAGAAACTGATGTTACCTTTGTCTTAGATGCCTCTTTCATTAAGGGTCAAATTGATAAATTGATCTTTGTGAGTGTCTGTTGACAGAAAAATATCCAGATCTGTCTCTCTCCTCATTCAGGGACTGTAACATGAATTAACATGGCCCTGCTGCAGCGCCTCTCACAGTGTTTTGCTTGCTCTTGCAGATGTGCAGTGCCAATACGTGGACATTTCCCCTCCACTGCCTCAGAAACAGTTTCATTTTCAGCACTTGGGCTCTTCTGAGAAAGGAGAGTGCAACCAGAGCCTGCCTGGGAGGCAGATCATGCTCAGGTGCACATGGGATGGACATGTTCCCACACTGACTCCGGAGCTTGCTTCTCATTTTTGGTGTTGCAGGAAATCTCTGGTGAAACCATCCTGTCATATGAGCTCCAGGTGTACTTCAAGAACTCTTAGTGGAAGAGTATTTGGCTATGTTAGAA